ACCCGAGTGTTTCGGTCAACAATTTTTTTTGTGAAAAAAACTTTGTTTTTTTTTTTTATTATTATTTTCTTCAAAATAATTTTTTTAACATTATTTTTAAAAACAACAATTTTTTTTGTGAAAAAAACTTTGTTTTTTTTATTTTCTTCAGAATAATTTTTTTAACATTATTTTTTTAAAAAATTGACCATAACCTGCCCAAGTTTAAAAAACATGTTAAAAAGAGAGACAATGTAGTAAAAAAAAGAGGAAAAAATGGAGTTAAGGAGAGAGAGGAGCAATGATTTTTGTTTTGGCGAAGGAAAGAGGAGGGAGAGGCTAAGGAAGCTTGCGTTTTATGATGACTGATAGCGGGTGTGTAGCTTGTTGTTTATGGTAATTGGATTCATGGTGAAATATCTGAAATTCTCGAGAGAAAAAAATAAAGATTTTTAGTGCTTCAGTGTTGACAGTGGAATTGAAAGGAAAAGAGAAGCACTTTGGGTATAAACAAATTGAATTGATGATAGCTTATCAGTTTAGTAACGGTGAATTGATGGAATAACTAAGTTATTAACAAATTTAAAAATATAATGAATATTTATATAGTTTTTCTAACTAAAGAAATTAATTAATTAATTTTTCTAAAACCACATGGACTATCTTATAATCTACTAGCAGGAAACACTCCTTTTGTTTTTGATTGATTGATTGAATGTTGACCGGCTAGGGAAAAGTTCTGGTAATCCAGACAGCCCTCGGCTACTTTAATTGAATCTCATATATGAATTAATTTACAAATTTAGGAAATAAAAATAACATAAAAATAAAAATCATATGGATTTAATATTACACATCACTTGATCCCGGCTAGGGAAAAGTTCTGGTAATCCAGACGGCCCTCGGCTACTTTAATTGAATCTTATATATGAATTAATTTACAAATTTTGGAAATTAAAATAACATAAAAATATAATCATATGGATTTAATACTACACATCACTTAATCAGTTTATCAAATGCATGGACCAGCGATGTTTGAAGTATTGGGATTTCTCCCAAAACAATTACACTTGTTCATGGTGTGTAACAAGAAATGCTCGACTCTTGAAATCTCATCATCATAAAAAGCAAGCATCCGATGGTAAATGGAACACAGTACTGAGTCATGAGAAAGATCTATGAAGCCTAATACAATGTTCTATCTAAATTTCAACAGCCTACCACCTTCATTCTTGTATGGACGTGTAAGAACCTCCTGCTTTCATCATCTCTTCTGGGGATTGTTTTCTTGACACAATTACATGAATTCCCAAAAACTATCCCTGTTAAATAGTCAGTTCTGAGACAAAAACAGCAAAAATAAAATTTGATACAGACGTGGAATTACACTGTTGAAGCCTTCATAACCATGAGAGTAAAGGGTGTCAGAAAAATCAACCGTCGCTTGTCCAAGTGAAAGCTAGGAGGACAATTGTTAGTGCCAAGAAAATGGTCGCACAAGAAAACAACCACAAATACCTGCTGTGGCCTTTGTGCTGGCTCTCTTGACTGCGCAACTCAACCTCCTTGAGAAGCTCCCTCACTTCGTCCATGTCTGAATCTTTTGCAGCTTGGATTAATCTACCTTGAATTCTCTCAAGTTTTGCGAGTCTTCTACTTCTCATTGAATCCTTGGCTGGCCAGATAAAACCAGTCATCTTCCAGAGAAGGATGCCGACATAAATGGCCACAATGCAGTCTACAGTGTAATGGTGGCGTTCCCGAATTTCTCTCTGGGAACCGTGCATTACAAGCAGCCATATGAAAGCGGAGCTAAAGCCTCCATATGCTTCCTAACACCATATGCCAAAAAAATTGAGTTTAACTTCACAGCAATGGCCATTAGAGAATGAGACAACACAGTTTCAAAGTTCATTAGTACAAGATTACCGTCCAAGCCATAGCTGTCAGCACAGCTACAAGCATGTGGCCACTGTATAGGAGGTCATTGCAGCCACCTCCAGCTCTCTTCAGAAGACTAAACCATGAAGCTCCTTCTGGAGGAGTGGGTCGTAAGAAATTTACAAGGAAGTTCATGGAACCCCAATCTGGATGGTAATCACCATGGTATTCCCCAGTATCAGCTGGAAAATGAAAAGAAAAGAAAACGTGAGCATAAATTTCCATTCAAAAGTTTACATCTGCCATAATTTAAGATAGATTTGCAATGAAGAAAACAGCACAGCTCATACAGCAACCACACTGAGCTTCATCATATTTCTCAGTTATGAAATCCATCTGGTAGAGAACAGGCCTACCTTTGTCTACACTAAAAATAAGGAAGACCATCTAAAGAGATAAAATTAATCAGATTGACCATCAAAACTTCCAATTCTTCTTAGAATTACTATAACCCATTTGTTTTACTGCCAGTGGAAGACACAAAAACAATTGAACATCTCATTCTGTTAAAAGTAGATAGAAATGAATCCCTCTGGACATTTGAAAGAAAATATTTGATGGTTATGAGCTAAAGTGAATTGAAGAAAATGAACAATGCGATTCACCTACTCAGTGAACCAAGTAGCAGGTTCAAATAGAAGTGTAACATAGAGTGTATTTTTTCCAAATAGATCCATAAAAGCTTACAAGCTTCATGTGGGCAATGCAAAAAGCACTATGGAAATGCTTTCTAGAGACTGCGGTTCTGATAAAAAAATCGAAACACAATATTAATGACAGCAAACAAATAATGCAATTCAAGTTCAACACAGAACATACCATAAGCTATATCCCGATTTATTATCTGACGAATAGCATCAGCATCTGAAGCATAAGGAACATAATATTTTTGAGCCCAGTGGTGAGGGTATGCAGGGACTGTAAACCGAGCTGCAGCACACCAAGGGCGGGCTGATGGTAGAATTGTAGATACAAAAGTTATAGCCCGAAGAAGACGACCAATTGCCATAGTGTACATGTCTTTTGCACCAAGACTGAGACCAGGAGCTTCTACGGAGTCGGATAGCACAGAGAAAGCCAGCATCATAAACAACATCAGGAAATGGTGAAGTCCGATAATACGAGCTCTTAGAATCTCAACTAATGGTCCAGGAAGCTTTTCATTCAGTGAAAGGAGTAACCACTGGCCAGTGTCAGGTAGAGGAGGTGTTTCACTGCTCAAAATCACCAAGCCAATCATGAATCCAATACATTTATGGCTATCTTTTAAAAACTAAATAGTTGAGGAGATGCAAGCTATCGTTTTGGCAGGAAACTGGCAGGATGAATAACAACTTCAACAAATACAAGTCATGCCAAATTAAATCATCATTTAATGGACCAGGAACTTCATTTTGAAATTAGTAAACTATTAAATAACGCCCACTTTGTAAGAAGTCCAACATTCTAATTCTTCAGGGTCTGCAGAATTTTTCCTAAGGGAATAATAAATCTAACCATACTCTCAAGTATTTAGCCAGCAAGGTTAAATTGACGTTGTAGTGGATCTTAATATTGAAGTAGAGGCCTCAAACATTGACATCCAGCTAAATTTAGATTTTGCTCTTCATTGAGAATGCAATATGTAATGGATTAAGTGCCAGGATGAAAAAAATCTTGAAAACCTTCTGTAGCTTATCAACTAGCACAACTAAATGCACATGTCAATTTCAAGTTTTTTAACACCTACAGATGTGCTAATTTTCTTTCTTAACCCTTATCAAAATTTCCATATATGGGACTGGTAAGGTTCTCAAATAAACTCATTGACATTTTCTATAATCTAAATATAGAAACGCTAACATTTAATGGTAAATGCGGCAATCTTTGCAATTGCAATACCTAAAGGCCTAAATGCAGCGTGAGTGTCATCATTTTGCAAAAGCTCAAAAACAGGCAGCTATCATTTCGAGCAAAAAACTGGACAAAATCGCCAGACTTCATTCTGATTCCTACACTAATGCAATTACCATTCACCCGGGCCGTTGGCTGATCAGATTAGAAAGAAATAACAAAAACATCCCAACCCAGAACACCTGAATCAAAATTTAGATCCTCTCACCAATCAGAATCTACTAAAGTAGCAACCTCCGTTAATATAGATTCAGTTCCGTAACTTCATTAATTAGATCATTTGATATTCAAAGTCAAACCCAGATCAGATCCAGTGCTAATTCAATATCTTTCCAAATCAGTAACCTTAACAGTTAACATAATGCAGAAGAAACCATACCAAAAAAGAAGAGAAACAAAATCCAAGCTAGTTCCAAAGATCATTACTACTGAAAACCAAAAACACAGCATAAAAACAGAAAAGCAACAATGCAATTACCTGTGCCAATCGAGGCCAAGAACAGCAGTGACAAAGCGCACAGAGAGAGCCTCTAAGAGAAAACAAGCGAGCATAAACAGCATAGAAGCAACAAAGGGAATGGCAGCTCTAAACTCAGACGTCCAGTGCTTGTAGAAAGGGACACGAGAGATGGCGATTAGGGCGAGTATTGACCATAGTGCTGGCTGGAGACGCTCGTGCCACGCTGGGGACAGGTGGCGCAAATAGTCCACCGCCACATAAGAAATTGCCGCCAGTCCTAAACCGCAGGTGATTTTAGGCGGTGAGAACCCCCACCTCATGGTGGCAGTGGTGATGGTGGTGACAATTGTAGAAACAAAGCGAGTATGGTGTAAGAAAAGTCGGAGATTCGAGGTCTTCTCAGGGATTGGATTTTTTACTGCGAGCTGCTTACCGTGCTCGTAAAAATAAGGTAATTATGCTTTTTTTAAATGATATCGATTATTTTTTAAAATATTTTTTTTATAAATATATTAAAATAATATTTTTAAAAATTTATTATTAATATTAGTAAGTAAAACAATATAAAAACATTAAATAAAGATTAATTTAAAGTGATTAAAATGATTAATTTAAAAGTGATATTAATTTGTGCATGTTAAAGTGATTAACATTTTACCTTTGGGCATTAATGTGAAAATCTTGGTGTAATTAATACTTTATGCCATATTCGGGTCCGTGTAAAATCCAAGAGGTTAATTAACGGAGTAAAGGCTAAAATATCGAACAATTAGATGGCACCCACTGCTCGTCAAAATCTTCTAGCTTGTAGATTTCTATTTTGTTCTGGGTGAAATGAACTAGAAAAGGGAAATTATGTACTATCAAAGCATCAATGGCGTGAACAATTTCTTGGCTTCAAGTCAGGAGCTGAGATGGAATTAAATTCATCTTGGGTAAGATGCTTTCTATGGTGATATATCATAATAAAATGCAACTGGGCAGTTTTATTCTAGAAAGTTGTCATTTTTTTTAATAATGGATCATAAGAGACATATGAGAGCTCTTCCATTCGATTGCAAGAAAAGACAAGCCATGCAATTCCAAGGTAAGATTCTAAAATCTTCCCAAGTTTATTTCAAATTAATTGTAGCTCCTGCTTGCCATAAGTTTCATGATATAAATACCTGCCTCGAGAATCATAAAGCTCACACACCATCTTAGAGAGAGTTATACACATTAAGGAGGAGAAGTGATAAGGAGAAAAAAATGAAAGGATTCCATTGCTGTCTGCTTCTCATTTTGGCCCTCGCGGGCTCGCTGGAAAACCTCAATCTCGTTTGCAGTGCTGCTGACCCTACAGATGGTTTCACTCCGGTGCCATTAACAGAAGCAAATTTTGAGTTGCAGAAACCATATAATATACCGTTAAATGAGCGATACAGCTATGAAGATGGAATCCGCCATATGTGGGTCTATGCTACTGACAAGCCTCACGACCCCAATAGTCGCACCCAACCAAGAACTGAAGTTCGCATGAAAGTAACCAGGCCCCCTTCATCTTACCCTTCTTATCCACGCAAAATAGATAGACACAGTTACATTACCAAGTGCCTCGTTGGTTAATTTATCTTGTTTTTGCAGGGTCTTGACTATACATCAGGAGTATGGCAATTTGAAGGCTATGGTTTCGTGCCAAATGGAACATCGGGTGTGACAGTAGCACAGATACACGGTGCAGCTGAGGACGCAAGCACTTTGATTCTGCGGATATATGATGGCAATTTGAGATATTACAGCGGGGATTTAGTGGCTACTGATCTTTATGACAGGTGGTTCAGGCTAAACATAATCCACGATGTGGATGGAGATTGGGTGACTGTATACGTTGATGGCGAGCAAAAGTATTCCACCAAGGGTCGAGGGCCAGGCGACTTCTATTTCAAATGCGGAGTTTATGCGGCTCCTCGTAACATTGCCTATTACATGGAATCAAGGTGGAGAGACATCAAAATATACAAGAAGTGATAGTGTATCATATATATGATTATTACTTAAATACATGCAGCTGAATTAAGCTTACTATGGCAAGAAAAATAGTATAATCAAGAAGAAAATTTATTCACATCTCTGTTCCTGCTAGCTCTGTCCCCTGCTAGAGCCAGCTATAAAAATAGTTTCTGAGTAGCTGATATGATCAATGAATGGTCAAAGTGAAGGGCCAAAAAAACCTTGTTATTAGGATCAAGGTATAGGTTTAACCATTATTATATCAATCCATTATAAAAATTAATTATAGGCAACTCGACATAAATTAAAAACTAGTTTAATTAATTAGGTTTAAAATTTATTAATTTAAATTTTATAAATTTTAGAGTTATTAAAAACTTATATAATTATTAATTTTACAGTTTATAAAATTAGTTGGGATGTATTCAAACTAATTCAAATATCTATATTAATATAAAAAGTTTATAACTCTTGAAATTTTAAATATAATTTAATTAATTAAATTTTAAATTAAATTTTTAATAATTACAAATTTTAATTTTATCACACGCTCATCTTATTCAAATTTATATATTTATTAATTTTAAAATTTATAAAATTAGTTAAGAAAAACGAATGAACTAGTCTAAGGCATTCATTAATGATTATATTAAAAAACAAAAAACTGTAACTCTCGAAAACCATCAAATCAATAGTAGATTTCTATTTTGTCTAGGTTGAGGGCTAGATTAGTTACAAGAGTCGCACCATCATTAACTAGGAAAACGAGGTAAGATCGATGTGGTAATAGCATTTTCAATGGAGCTGTTAAATAAAAAATAAAAAATAAAAAAATAATATTTTAGTATTTTAATTTGTTTTTTATTAGTCAAACAAAATATTAATTTTTTTTTTATTTTTCACAAATATTATTTCTATATATCCTTTTAAAAAATCAAAATTAATAAAATAAAACTAACAAAAAAATAAACCAATTAAATATAGCCATACAAAAAAATAACATTAAAATTATTAAGAAAAAATAAAATATTTATTTATTTCACTTTAATAAAATTAAATTTTTAAATAAATTTTTTCCATTAAAATATACATAATATAAAAAATTATATTTATATTAATTAAAATACTATTTTATTAATTTACCTCTTTAAAACAGCTTCTCTCATTAAAAATGCTCCAACGAAGGAATCAAAGTTGAAATATGGCTTCTCGGGCACCGTACGAAATGAAAGGAGGAGCCCAGAAGAGAGAGAGCTGCTTCCAACCAGACTGACTGCATGAGTTATGATGGTAAGGTAAAATCAAGGAGACGTGACATTATACAGAAATCATAGATATAAAGTAACCAACCAAAAAATGCCACTGTCCGTACCTGTGGAGGTCATGATAATTTAAAATAATATTAATAATAATAATAATAATAATAATAATATTTTCACTTCAATAACTGATGATTTGCTAGGCAGCTCATCTTTGACGAGAAAGTTTTTTCATTTAGTTCAAAAAACTATTCAATTGCAAGAAAAGAAAAGACATCCACACAAGTACAATTTTCAATTCTTAGTTACCAAATTTATTACAAAATAACAATGCTCTTGCTTGTTTCATGACTTACAAATATTTGTGTCATAAATGGTTATGAATAATATATTTTATATTTAATAAAATTTTAAATTTAATTGATTTTTTTAATATAATTTTATAGGTATACAAACCTCATTACCTATATTTTCATTACTAAAATTAAATATAAGATATTTAATAACTAAATAATTATAAGTTTAAATTTTATATAAAAAAATAAATCAATAAATCAATCTTCTTCCATTTCGCTTCTCCCATTCAAGTACTTATATTATAAAAAAATTTAAATTATATAAATTATATCTTTAAATCTTTTTAAATAGTTATAAATTTAAATTTTGCTATTTCATTTAATTTATAAAATTTTATTAAACAGAATGCATTATAAACTTATATGGTTTATACAATTTTTAGATCTATGTTTATATAAGTTTCAGATGGAAAAAAATTTCTTTTACCAAACTTTCTTTTAACAAGATTTATTATAAAATAATATAAAATTATTCTTGAATTAAAATGGTTATAAGATAATTAACATTATATAACACCACTGAGACATGGTCCATTGTCCAACTGTTTTTGCTTTGTTAATTTGTAGGGTCTTGACAATTCATCAGGGGTTTGGCAATTTTAAGGCTATGGTTTTGGGACAAATGGAACATCAGGAGCGACAGGAGCACGGGTGCATGGTGCATCTCATGGATCAACCACTTTCGTCAGTTCATGGGAAAGATAGACGATGGCAACATGAGGTACAATAGTGGAGACTTGGTGGCTACTGATCTTTATGACAGGTGGTTCAGGCGGAATATAACCCATGATATGGATGAAGGGTGACTCTGTTCATTGACGATGAAGAAAAATATTCAACCCATGATCAAGGGCCAGGCGAAATATCCAGTTCAATACCATTATTAACGTAAGGCCTTGCCTTTGCTTTCAAACACAGGAAAACAAACAGTAAACTAGTTTGAGTTGTGTGTCACTCCCTGATTTTGATATTACTATTACAAATGTAAAGAGACGACGATCAAAATAAATGTAACAAAAAGCTAATACTGTTACGCAAAGGGGGAAAAAAATATAACCTGATACTGCCTTCTACTATCCCTCAATACTATACCAGCCAAGAATGGAATGAATGAAATGTCAAAACAAATCATAAGATATCTAAGATCAAAAGAAAACGAAAACCCAAAAAAGCATATCTACACAACACGAAAAGACACCAGGAGAAGCTTACGAACAAGGTAGGCAGCACCACTTTTCAATTTGAATAAAGAACCATTGCAGGGGGTTTGGCTGGTCATTGTCCTCTGATGACGAAGTAGGCAAGGGTAGCTCAGGGGGTAAATGACGGTGAAATGCATCAACTGCAGCTGCAACGCCATCTTCATTTTCTATCAACTTAGCCAATTCCATAGCTCGAGATTTAACCTGGCCATGTTAAAAGGTCCCATTAGGAATTGAAAAGGCATCCTTATAAAAGTAGTGCATAGGAAGATTGACCCTGGAACTACCCATTTCATGTTGCATTTTGGTGTTAAGCTAACATGATGGTTGATATGCAAACATAGTAGAAGAAGAATTCAAAAATGGTTAATCGTGTAAAATTATGCTCAAATTAGAACCTAAATTCAGTAAGTTTCCATAAATATTTTGTCTTCTTGAGCGCATTAAATCGTTCTATAACTTGAAACACCTTTGAAGTGGATTTTTCTAACAGTCAGTAGGTTCCACCCGATTCAGAGAAAATTAGATGGGAGTAAGCCACAACAAAAAAAAATGTAGTTTCCAAATATATTTTGCATCATTGAGAATCTATTTTCTTTCTTGAAAACATAATTTGAGAATTATTATGAAAATAGTGGATGGGTCTATGACTTCTCTGTTTATAATTCTTCTTTGCCAGTTCATGTTTTTTTTCCAGAAAATGTAAGTGCATCCTTCATACTTATGTTCAATAAAACATCAAAATTTCACTTGTATTTGTTTTGATCTGTGTTTAACTCTCTCACAGAATAAAGAGGAAATCTGAAGTTCCTTGCAAACTACAGACAGGTGCGAGGAAGTTTATGCAGCAGAAACACTGTTGCAGCTTAATTGATAGAATCCTATGTCTTAAAAGATGACTGAAATGATCAGCTTATAAGAAATCTATCCAAGAAAGGAACTAGCAAGATTTTCCGATCTAAAAAATTTACTATTGCAACTACAAACAAACACTAATGAGACGACAAAATCATATCAGTGAAATCTAACATATTTGTGATATGCTATGAAAAGACTCTACTATGAATTGGGAGGCCATGCACAACATGTTGCTTACCTCAGGCTCTAGCATGAACCTTATTGCATCTGAAAGGTTCTCAGCACTGAGCTTAGCTATCGGTATTGGTACAGGCCCCAGCCCTTTTTGATGCACTCGATCACCCCAGAAGAACTGGTCGCCAAAGAATGGCACTATAGTTGTTGGGCACTGTAATTAACATTTTTGAAGGAGACAAGGTCAGCATGTAAAACGTGAACTTGGTTCTAATAAACAATTGAGTTGCATAACTTGAATAAGTTACAAACTCTCTTAATGCCATTTCCAAGCATGAATTTGAATTCATTCACAAGATAATCTTCAGGACAGAATAATCTTAATGAAATTGATTTATTTAGATGAGACATTCTCAAATGAATTCAAGAGAATATTAAGCTATCTAAAAGAAGCATTTACCCCAGCTCTTAGCCCAGTAGCCGTGGTTCCAGCACCACCGTGATGAACCTGCATATTGTTGTAAAAAGCTTCCAATCAATCATCCAGTTACAAATGTAACCAACATACTCGAGTAACACAACATTCTACTGGAGGTGTGTATTGCTAATAGCAAGCCATTTCTGTCATTCATCCATATCAATAAATCTAGGCAACAGCAGAGATCCCAGTATTGTTTATGATTGTCTAATAGGGTGGGTAGAAGGAGAAGGAAAAGGCCAAGGCCATACTGGCCAACTGCACAAAGGTTTAACTTGCAACATAATCACAATCTTATAATATCACTCACCACGGCAGCACATTGAGGAAACAACCAATCATGAGGGCAATCCTTCAAAAGGAAGACGTTGTCAGGTACTTCCATGACTGCAAGAACAGTTTCCATCAGAAGAGAAACCATACATGTTTCACAATTTAGTATATGTGGTTTCATTTAAAAATCAAAAGCCATACAATGGAAAGAAATTTCAAACTATTATAGTGACTGATGACAAATCAGCAACAATACATGAGGAATTCAACAATGTATCATCAAACATGTTATGGCGGTTTATGGATGGGATAGAAGAAAAATGTATTAATAAAAGAAAAAAGGGAACGGGAAAGCAAAATTCAAGCTCAGAAGGCAGCTAGATCCCTCTACATATCAGCCAGGGAAGTAATAACATATGGACATGAGTACATTTATTTGGTATCTAGGATAGTGCCACACTCTAGTTGAGTAGATATCTGTACAGCTAAATAAAGCATATTCATTTAGAAGCTTCAGT